GTCCTTTCCTCTACAGGTTGACCGGAGCAAAATATCAAACCGCGACTCGCGCCGGAGAAGCCACCATACCCGAGAGCTCCACCGCCAGTAAGTCTCAGTTTTTTAGATTTTTTTGGCCCACCGAGGGCCCTATGGGTGTTTTATTACAGGAACCAATGCAAGTTTGGCCTAATTTGACCGAAAACGGCCAGAAATGGCCAACCCGAGGCAAATCGTCGTTGTGGGCGGCGGCGCCGTCGCTGGAGCACGACATGACCGCCTTGCCGGAATTCTGAAATTGGCCGAATAGGCCATGGGTCTGATTTGAGGTTTTTTGGGGACATGTGCAGGTACTGGAAATGTGTTTTAGTTTCCGGGAAAAAATTCAGGGAATCTAGGAACTGCCCGTAGGCGCAGTGAGAATTCGATTTCAGACTCCGAAACAAGTAAGGATCCCTCACCCTATTTCCTATCACGACATTAAAGCTTAATAAATGATAAAACGGTATTTTATGAATTAATAGATATGTATAATTAATTAAGATTGCTAATGGGGCCCGAACCTGATGTATTTGTCGGTCTGTTCCTGTTTGATGTACTTTACAATCTAAATGCAGTATAATATTTGATTGTTTATTCTGTGGTTTCATATGCATAAATCACTGTTTAATCTATTATAGTTTGAATTATTGTGAACCCGATGTTGTGTTGCCTTATTTGGCGTGCGTTACTGGTTTACGTATTCATGTTGATTGGGTAATTGAGATTAAGAAAAATAAAAAGGGTATATGAATTTATAAATAGAAAAGTCGACAGCCTCACTAGATATTTTGGGAGATGGTGGACGGACCGGGTCCATAGGGAACCCTACGTGGTCTCTCATATCGGACGGGGTATGGAGACTTTAAATATTTTCGCGCTCATACCGGATGGGGTATGGGGATGGCCCTGGAATTAAGGTGAATGGCTCACGTGTAATAGGGACCCCTATGGATCCCGATGGATACTAGTAGACTGATAAAAGAGAAAATTTGTTGCCTGATGATTGAAATACAAAAGTATGATATGTGTTATGTTACAGAGTATGCATGATCTTATAATGTTTATAATGTTATTGTTTTCATAAGTTATTTTCATGAATCTCACCGAGGTAAGTGGACAGTAAACGGTTTTATTATTGATAAATGAATTTGTTATAAATTATGCTCCATTGGTCGTTTTTGTTTTCTACCAACCTTTACTACTGTGACAGTGAGATAGTGTGACATTTTTACTGGGCTAGTGTAGCTCATTCCTTACTTAACCATTTTACATCAGGAGGACTTGGTTCCCGAGCCCATTCCGCAGGAAGACGGCGAGTAGAAGCTTAAAAATTTATTAGTTTTTCCTTATAGTATTCATTCATAGTATTTCCTTTAGTTAGTTTATTCTTTCGTATCTTTAATACGTTTTGATTATTGTGTAAGGGATGTTAATCATAATCTATTTTATTTCGCTTCTGCACTTAGAATAAATATATACATTTTCTTTTAATTTCCGGAACCGTTACATCTACGCCTAAATGACCAAGACTCATTTTTTCTTCTTTAGAAAAAAATTTCACATCTTTTCTATGCTTTTGAAAAAGTCTGTCCTCACCTTTCAGGTTCTCCTCTTTCTTTACTAACAACTTCTTCTCATGGGTACCTCTCAAAATCCTCGTTCCCTTTTCAACTTCCAGCTTTACCTTTTAATGGTGAAGGGAAGTTGCTGAAAATCTTTCGATAAATAATCCTAAGAACCCATCTCCTTATTCGGGTACGATCTCTTCTATTCGTGCACGCTTCTCCTTACTTTCTTCTTCTTCCTGTTTCGTGTGACACCCACCATACTTACTCTCTTCTTCAACTCTTTGCAACTGCCAAACAGCCTTTATAATTTTTCTTCACTCAATGTGTGAAACGGCACCGTATCAGGTGTTTTTATTTTTAGTTAAAGTGCCTTGAAACGGTGTTGTTTTGGTGCATGCAAGCTGTTGGGCTGGATGCACGAGATTAGGCTCTTGCCTCATCTGGGCTTGTTTATTCTTTTGTGGGCTACTGGACTATTCGTCCTTTGCGAGCTGAGAGTTTGGTTCTTTCCTTTTTTCTATTTTTACTCTTTTCGTTTTTTTTTTGTTTTCTTTTCAAATACAATGATATTAATATTATAATAATAATAATAAATAACAACGAGGACAATGATGTTGGTGATGGTGATGATGATGATATTCATGATAATAATGTCAAAAATAATAACAACAATTTTGCAACCATAAGAGATTTTAACTTGAATCTTTTAATTACTAACCCATTACTGTTGTTATTACTATTATTAATCTAATTATCACTTTACTATCATTATCTTATTTCTTTGTTATTTATTATTATATAAACGCATTCTTATTCTCATTATTTATTATATTTTTATTATTGTTATAATTAGCTAAAGAAAATTAGGAAATGACACTTATAAATCTTTTAGTAAACCAATTTAATACAAGATTAACGTAATTTCAACCACAAACAAGATCACAAGTAGATAACATTGAATATCCTTAATGAATAAGGCACATTTGATAATACCCCGTCAAATATGGAAAATATGAGCGGAGAGCTACCAACCTTGGAATCATAGGATCTTGTATCAAACTATAAGCACCAATAAGAACCATCTTCCATAAAGAAGACTCTTTAATAACAAATTAGTATAACTATTTAAGAAGTAATATATGATTCATATCCTCGAGGTGGCCAATATCTAGGCCTTCATGATCCTTCCTCAAACATATAATCTCCCAACTAACCAAGTGTAGCTTTTTATCTTGTAATTATCAAGGCTCGTCTCTCGATTTTTGATTATTTGCATTACTGCTATTAAAGTCTCTATAGTCCTGATGAATATGTTTTTTTATTGGGTCCAAAGATTATTAACCATGTTTTCTTGCACTGCAAATTGTCTTGGGCTCTATGGTATATTTGCTTGAATTAGGGGCTAAAATATTTATACTTTTTTTCCTTTTAACACTTTTTAAGCTAGCTACTATATAGTAAACCTGTTATAGAGATGCTCTTATTTACATTTCTTTAGGCCATTTGGCTTGTTAAAAATAAGAATATGTTTCAAATAAGGTGTGGAATGTAAGTGAGTCATCCAAGTTGGTTAGGTATAAAATAGTTTGGTAGATGAAGACCCTGAATAATGATCTTATTAGATTACAAATTTTTAAGAGGTTGATTTATTTATATGATGTTAGAAAAGAGAAAAGAATCTTTAAGATAAAGATGGGAGTCGTAACGTACCTTCATAAGAATATATTATTATATTTTTGCATTATACATATATATATTTGAAAGATAAACTATGAATTGTATTGATATAGGCACCTATGGGGTACCACCCATGTACAAAATTTATAAATCAATTAATGTATTAAATCCTGCATAAAACAAAAAGGATAACCCCATAACAAGAATCAAGGGTCTATAACCATCTATTCTTAAAGATATCGACCAGTTACATCCTCAACCTTATCAAAAGTTCTATTTCTCTCTTTTCACACTATCGAAATGACAGAGAATGAAATTTCTCTCCCTCCTTTGCAAAACCTGTCGTCGCATCTAGAATCATTAGATTCTTATCCTTTCTTCGCTCCTCTTCTCCGTCGACCACCATTAGGATTTTTCTTCTACTATCAAGTTCTCTTTTAAGCTCCAAATTCTATACATGTATATTTTTACATTGGTTACTTTTTTGCATTTATATTGAATATATTTTTGGTCTAAAATTTCTTTTCAACAATTTAAAAAAATAAAGTCTTTTTTCACAATATCAAATTTGTCTAAGTTGCAATATTAATTTGATCTTTCTAATCTTTTAAAATATTGCCAACAGTTTATTAGATAATATTCTTAATTATGATCAAATCTCAAGATTTTAATATTTTGGATTAGTAAAAACTTTATAAACATCTATTATTTTTCATAATATTCTTGAAGAGTCGTTAAATTATATGCCCAATTTCTTTCAAATCTTGTAAGATCATTAGTAAGTAAAACTTTGAATTTAAGTGTATCATTACCTAATTGAACTTGAGTGCTCAACTCTTATCCTCTACGTAACTCTCTCATTTCATAATATAATACCATGTTCTTTATTTAAAAAGATTTAACCAAAATTCTTCCCTTTCATATATAACTTGAAAAGTTATCATATAAGTTTATGTACTATTTGACCACAACAAAAGAAATAATGAAAATATTTTAAACCAAAATATCTTATTTTTGACAAAAAAAACAGTATTGATATAAAATTTTTGGTGTATACACAAAATAATTAATGGTGTAAACCAACAATTTATTTGTCTCCTATTCTTCTCCAATCAAACTAAACCGTGTATCTAATGTGATTTGCCCATTAATTGTGTATGCGAGTAATTAGTTTCATTATTTATTCACCCAAAACAACAACAACAAAAACGACAATCCTACAGTGTCGTATTAGTGATTAATTGCATTTGCATGCGGGCTAACAAGTGTCCCACCTCGAGCTCTACCATTCACCCACCAAACTCCGCGACGCACACTTTGTCTCAACCTGAACGCCAGCTTCGGCTCGCCACTCCATTTCATAATTTGTCTCCTTATAATTTGCCATGACACTACCACGTGCAATTATACAGGTGTCGCGTGTGATGAACACAAGGCATGCAAATATTAACTTCCGAACAAACATCTTTTGGATTTTCTCACCATATATATCTAACATGCAGACAAATATGTGTATATACATATATTAATATGTGTATATATATAATATATGTATATCCCATGAGGAAGATGTGGAGTCTCGACGACGGTACACTCGTCAACCTGCATGTTGAACCCATTTAATCATCTGATACGTAGCAAAAATCAAACGCTTTCCTCCTTTCCACTTGCTATAAGTACGGGAACACTCTCTTTAAAAATCATCAAAGAGAAAATAAAAAGAAAAACAAGAAAATGGGATTCAAGAAAAGGTCTCCTCTTCTACTGGTTCTGCTCTTTCTCTTCCTCTCTTCCGGACTGCTGCATTGCTTTGCGCAGTCATTGGATGAAGCGGAAGAGTTAGAGGGGTTGGAGAACGGTTCTTGGGCTGATGAGTTAGAAGATGATGAGAAGGAGTTGATGACATGGAACCAGCAGGACCCAGCTCGTCGTCAATACCAACAATGTCAGCAACGTTGTCAGAGGCAACCACAAGGTCCAAGACAACAACAATGTCAGCAAGCGTGCCAGCAGCAATTCGAACGCCGGCGACAGCAACGCCAGCAATGCCAGCAGCAATGCCAAGGGAGAAGACCACAGGAAAGACAACAGTGTCAGCAAAGGTGCCAACGACAGATAAGACAACAGCAACCGGAGTACTCTTTACCTGGGGAAAATCAAGGAGGAAGAAGTAATCCTTACTACTTTGATTTACAAAGCTTTCTCTACAGATTCCAGTCACAAGCAGGACACTTCAGGGTTCTACCAAGGCTTACTGATGTTCGTCCTCAACTGTTTGAATCTCTTAGAAACTATCGGTTAGCTGTTTTGGTAGCACATCCTCAGACATTTGTCCAGCCTCACTACCGTGATGCATCATCCGTTTTGATTGTTACACAAGGTAATTATTATTTCGTTATTTAGATGTTGATCCATATTGGGATTTTCACTTATGTCTAGGTAATATTTGTTTAGTAAATATATGTATTTTCTTAAAAAAATTAAAATGTTTAATGGCAGGAAAAGGAACTGTTTCTCTTGTATGCCAAGAAGGAAGCGTTTCGTTCAACGTGCAGCGGGGAGAGGTGCTTAGAGTACCTGCAGGAGCTCTTGTGCACATTAGTAACCCAGACGATAACCAAGAGCTCCACATAGCTCAGCTAACCCAACCCGTTTTCACTCCTGGTCAATTTAAGGTAAACTATTATCATTATTATTACTATCTACATAATAAAAATTTATAATTGTATCAGATATATGATAAATCATTTTCAACCAATCCATTTAACTCTTAAACTGTACTTGTTGTAACAGGAATATTTTCTCACTGAAAATGCCCAAAGTCAAATGTCTGTGTTGAGTGGCTTTAGTCAAGAAGTCCTTGAGAGTTCTCAGAAGGTACAAGTATATATATTATGTATAACTTAATGTATATATAATCATGTTGAACGCTCAGGAGTTAATTAATTATTAATCTTGGTGTGTGAGTAGACACCAGTGCAGGAGATACATAGGGTTCTCCGGGGTCAAACCCAGAGACAACAAATAATCCACAGGGCCTCGCCAGAACATCTCAGGCAACTGAGTCAACAAGCATCTTCTACTCCAACACAAGAAACGAAGGAAATAATCAGACCAATTAATCTTCTAGGCCAGCAGCCTGTTTACTCGAACAACTGGGGCCAGTTCTATGAAGCTCGTCCCGCTCAACACAGGCAGCTGCAAGATCTCGACGTTTCTATCAGCATCGCACAAATGAAACAAGTAAAAAAATAAGAACTTGACTTTGTAGTTCACACAACTAACTTATGATGATCTTCTTGTAAAATGTTCTAACTGATCATCTGATGTGTTAATGTTTCAGGGATCAGTATTTGTGCCTCACTATAATTCAAAGGCCAGCATATTTGTGCTTGTCACAAGAGGACGAGCGCGCTTTGAAATGATATGCCCACATGTCTCCATTCAGAGCCAAGGTAGAGAAGAATACAGTGAAGAAGGAGGACAACAGATGCACAGAATCGTAGCCGAGGTTTCAGCTGGTGAAGTCTTCCTTATACCCTCAGGCCATGCCGTAGCACTGATCGCCCACGAAGATACAGAAGCAATCGGGTTCGGGGTCAGAGCACAGAACAACGAAAGAAACTTCCTAGCAGGTAATACATACATATATATATATATATATACACATATGCATGCAGAAATCTTCCCAGCAGGTAATACATACATATATATATATATATATGCATGCAGAAATACGTTCATTGAGTAGCAACTTCAATCACTATACCAACTATTTCTTTAAGCTATATATATATATATATATTGATTTCCTTACAAATAAAGAAGAATGACTTTGATATGTTTGATTTATGAAGGGCAAAACAACATCATTAACAAATTGGAGGACGCAGCAAAAGCTTTGACCTTTGGGCAGCAACACGTAGAATCGGTGAAGAGGATATTTAGGAGCAACCCCGATGAGTCTTTCTTTGTGCGTAGGCAGCGGCAGGGGCAGCAGGGAGGAGGAGGAGGTCGCCAGCGGCTTTGGTCAATTTTGGACTTGACTGAGTAATCCATGAGAGACAAACATATGTACGTAAATGTATATGTATAAGGGGGTTTGTCAAACTTCCTGTAATGGGTAAGGCTATGGAGAGTGTGTGGGAAAGCTGTATGTATGGTTTGGAGTAAGTGAGTTTTGTAAGCGACGAGAGAGCTCCTGCTTTCTACTGTTAATAAATCAATAATTATCTCTTTAGTTTTATTCCATATGGAAATCTCCCATTTCTTATGGTTTTTTACTTCCTGTGCTACCACCTTGATCAAGATAAATTTGAATTCGAGTTGATTTGTGGATTGAGTTTTTATTAGATCATTCGAGTCCGAGTCGATTGGAATTCAGATTTTATTCACAGAGAATTCGAATTCTATGCATAATTTACACACAGATTTTTCTCTAAAAGCATATATGAGAATGTAGATCACGTGATCGTTAATGATGAAATGAAAAGTCCTCTACTTTCTCACATATAATAAGAGGATCTTGTGCTTCCTCATTCTTCAGATGGAGGGACAGGGACGCCAAGCTTATCTGCAGAAACATAAATAAAATGCAAATCAAGGCTATAACCAAAGTATTAGAATTTGATACTAACGTAATTAATCTGGGTATGTGTATATCTATATATATTTGCTATGAACATTAACAAAGTAATACTAAGATTAACAATAATACTTTGTGTTACCAGCAAGATCTTTATTCAAACAATCGGTGTCACACTTTGTTTCGCAAAAACTATAGCTAGATTCCTCGCTCGATTCACAATTTTGAAGACAAGTTTTTAAGCATGTGGCATACTCGTCGTTGTCATTCGATTCATTAGCTTGTGTTTCTGAATTGGCTTGTGTTGTCTCCGGTAAATGAACAATAGCTACCGCAAGAACAACAAGACATATCCCAAAAAATGCAGCAACTTTCTTCGCCATCTTGATTGAGTTAATATTTGTTGTTATCTTTTCTTTACACTATTAGTTGGTATTGGGGCATCTAGCCTTTTTTAGAGGAGTAATATAAGGATTTTATACACACAATGTCTTCAACTTCTCAATCACAATACGAGTGATTAATCTTTAATCACGGAGATTACTCTTATTCCTATCCAATCAACCATTAGGTAGTTATATATAATCTCGTAATCCAAAATGAATTTTTTTTTTTGTCAATAGTAACCAAATTAGTGTTATTATGAGATATTAAATAATTCAAAAGGAATTATATAAATCAATTCAGTTCAAACTTCAATTTAATAATAATACATGTTGGGCCAATTGTGCATGTTCATATATATGCATATGTACGTTTATCTTTTTGACACTGTTTACCATTTTTTACCAAACTAAAAATCCATGCTCAAGGTAAATCTAATGTTTCAATCCATATTCTGATTATTAGACAAAATTACCATGAAAATTACAGTGAAGGTTCACCATATTTTTCAATTTATGATTAATATGGGTTAAGTGACGTAATGTTCGAATAAAATTAACCATCTTGTTTACTACGAATTTGTTGCATTTGTTAATTCTACCAACAATTTTCACACAAAAGTTAACCATGTTTCTGTCTACTACTAAAGTCCCACTCGTTGAAAATAAGAAATAATAATCCATCAAACTTCTAAAGGAAGTTGATCATTTAAACAAACTAGAAACAAATTCAAGTCTTTAAGTGAGAATAAGATCAATGGGCTCTAACAATGGATTCTTCATAGCAAAAAAGATGACATTTAGTACAGGAAGAAACGAGAGAGAAAGCTCTAATGAAGTTGAGAGAGAGTCTAAAATTATTAGGATTAACGTAGAAAATATAATTGTTAATTTATTAAGATTTTTCTAAGTACTTATTCATGTTAAGATGCATGTGTGCTTAGATAGGTACATGAATTTTAAGATGTAAGTACATATATCTATGGTTTACCATATATATGTTTCTTCTTTTCTATATAAATTTCTTTTATATTTTGAACACAATACAATAAGGAAAAACTAAGTTTTTGTATACTTTTTCCTTGCTAAATATATATCAAATGGTATAAGAAGATTTCATTCTTGAAAAACCTATGAAAAAGTAATCTTAAGTGTTTGCTTGAGAGCAACATAAGTATATTTACCAACAACTACCTAGGGAATGAAGAAAACTATCAAGTGTAGGTGATCAAAATGAAAGCCTATTTGAAGGCCCTGAATTTATGGGAAGTAGTATAAATGGTGGAGAACCAACTCCACATGGAGAAAATCCAAATATTGCATAATTTAAAAACTATAAATAGCAAAAGTCCAAAAAGCAAATAACTCTAACATATTTGCATTCAGTGTTATCAGAAATTATTTTCTTGCGAGCAATGACCTATGAAACTTCTAAAGAAATTTAGAAAAATTTAAAGGAGTATGAATGTAGTTATAGGGTAAAAAGAGTCAAACTTCTTATACTAAAAAAGAGGTTTGAGATGCACAAAATGAAGGAAAGTGAGACTGTCAAAAAGTATGTTGGATAGATGTTGGAGATTATAATAAAGTAAAATTATTTGTAGAGTCATTTGTAGAAAATAAAGTAGTTGAAAAATATTAATAAGCTTATAAGCAAGGTTCAAACCAAATATTTCAGCAATTGAGAAGTCATGTGATCTAATAAACCTCGTTGTTGCAGAACTTATCAATAAGCTACATCTACAAAAGTTAAAAAACAAGTCTCAGAGACAAGACTGTTGAAGGTATATTTCAAGTCATACAAAAAAAGAAGCATGAAAGGGAAGTTATACAAGAAAAATGGGCTAGAAAAGGGTAAAGCTACAAGTACCCCTAAAAGTTTCTTAAAGAATAAATGAATTTCCTCTTTGTAACATATGTTAAAGAATAAATCACTTGGACAAAGATTGTAGGTTTAAAGATATATTTAAGGTAGAATACAAGTATTGCAAAAAGTCAGGACATATAGAGAAAAATTGTTGGGCCAAGGAAAATCAAATAAGGAGAAAGGAATAGTAGCATACTAATACTATAAAGGAACAATAGGAGCAACAAACTAATTTATTATGGCTTCTTAGGTATTTCGCAACTCAAGCAAGCATGTTTGGTACATTAACAATGGTTGTATCAGTCACATGATGTATTATGAAGGCTTGTTCAACAACCTAGACAAGTCTGTCAACATTAAAGTTAGGCTTGGCAAGGGTTAAGTGGTAGAAGCACAAGGAAGGGGGTCAGTTGTTTATTTCAAGCAAGGTAACAAGTATATTCATAACGTGCTTTATATACCTAGTCTGGCTTAAAACTTGCTAAGTATTGTTCAAATGATTTCAAAAGGCTATTCTTTAACTTTTTTAAAGATCAAAGTTACAGTATATATGACTCAAACAAACATTTGGTTGCACATGTTCCTAAGATTGATAAAATCTTTCACTTTGAATTAGAATTCAGTAACAAATAATGTTTTTCATGGTAGTTTGATGATCGTCATTATGGCATAGAATATATGACCACTTTAATCTTATTTCTTTGAAGCAAATGCAGTCTTAAGGCTTGACAAGAGATTTGTGTTAGAAAATAAAGAAAATTTATCAGCCATTATTTCATAGTTACTGTAATTAAATTACTCAAAATTTGAATGGTATTAAATATAAATTATTTATAATTGTAGAAATGTTTATGATTGTAATTTATCATTTACTTGTATAAATAGGTATTTGTAATTTATTAAATAGAACATCAAATAAAAAACATATATTTCATAAAATACATTTCATTCTGATATGTTTCTTTTATTATTTTAAGCACTATTTGCACAGTTGTCTCTAATATTACCAACAAGTGATATTAAAGCTTCAACAATCAAGAATGATACAATATAATTTTTATAAAATATAACTTATGGCTTCTGGAAAAATAACCTAGCAGCAAATTGTTCCATTTTCTAGTGGAGAAAACTATGGATATTGGAGTATTAAAATGAAGGTTGTCCTATGTTAGATCTAGCTTATGGGAAGTAGTAGAAAATGGTATACGAAGAGTTTAGGGTAATACTAATACTTCAACTTGAATGACATAGATTGGCCAAAAAAGGATGCATAAGCGTTAGCCAAAATTCATCTTGCTGCCTCAAATACAATATTTTCACGTATAATGAATGCCACTTTAGGAAAAGAAGCATGGGATATCTTGAAGAATGAATTTAAAGGAACGAAAAAGATAAGAATAGTCAAGCTTCAATCATAAAGACATAAGTTTGAGAATTTAAAAATGAGAGATGGAGAAACCATCAAAGATTATTCTTCGAGAGTAACAGAGCTCATAAATCAACTAAAGACATATGGTGATAACATTATTGATCAACGAGTAGTGGAGAAAATATTGGTCAATTTTTCAGAAAAGTCTGAGATGGTGGTAACTATCGTAGAGGAATCAAAAGATCTATCGATGTTAACCATATCAAAACTTATTTGTTCTCTTTAAGTTCATGAAAATAGGATGTTAAGAAGACATGAAACATCTTTAGAATGAGCTTTTTAGTTGAAGCATAAACATTCATCCTCAAAAATAAATAAAAATAAAGGTCCGAGGCAATATAATTTGGGAGCAGCAAAGGAGACAAAAAAGATAAATTACCTTATCGTAAAATTTGTAAAAAAATAAAATCATGAAGAAAGGAGTTGCTGACATAAGGGAAAGTCACATTGTAGTTTTTACAAGAAATTTTGTCACATGGAACACCAATTCAAATTTAAAAGGCAACAAGCAAGCGTGTCAAAGATTATAGATGAAAAAGATTGACTGGTTTAAGTTTGTCAGAACACATCTAGACCGAAGGATGATTGGCTTATTGATAGTGGATGCACTCATCATATGACCAAGTGTTCGCATACATTTAATGAAATAGATATGTCAGTTAAGTTCCTATCAAAATGGGTAATTGGGCTATAGTAAAATATGAAGGCAAAGGTACTATTGCTGTACAGACAAAGAAAGACACAAGATTAATTAAAGATGTTCTACATATCCTAGATTTATATCAAAATTTACTTAGTGTTCCACAAATAACATAATGGGTATTCTCTTCAGTTTAAGGATGACTCTTTGTTCAATATTTGATCCAAAGGGAAACTCAATTGCTTGCATGAAAATGTAATAAAAAAATTTCCTATACAATGACAGTATGTTGAAAGGAAAAAATCAATGTATGTTCAGATGGACGAGATACCATGGTTATGACACAAGCACTTCGAACACAATAACTGTCAAAGTTTGAAACTACTTTCCCAGAAAAATATGGTGAAAGGTCTTTCTGCTATTTTAGAAACAAGTGGCATATGTGATGGTTGTCAACTGAAAAAAAATAACAAAGCAATCATTTCTAATGGGACAAGCATGAAGAGTATCAAAGCAACTCGAGTTAGTGCATATTGATGTATAGCCCTATGAAAACCCCTTCACTTGGCAATACAAGTATTTTATCTTATTTATTGATGATTATTCTCAGATCACATGGGTCTATTTCATGAAAGATCGGTTCGAGGTCTTCAAAATTTTCTACAAATTTAAGAGTTTTGTTAAAAAAGAAAGTTCCTACCAGCTTAAGAATCTTAGAAGTGATAATGAAAAGAGTATACATCCTTAGAATTTAACAAGTTTTATGATGAGAAAGGTATATAACATCAACTTACTGTTCTACATACTCCATAATAAAATTGTGTATCAGAAATGAAGAACAGAACTATGATGGATATGGCAAGATCGATGTTGAAGGATAGAGGTTTACCTAACAAGTTTTGGGCTGAAGTAATATATACATTGGTTTTATCTCTAAAATCGGCTATCTACAAAACCAGTTGAAGGATATATACCTATTGAAGCATCGTCTGGACATAAACTATTTGTTAGTAACTTAAAAGTATTTAAATGTATTTGTTACATTTATGTACCAATAAAAAAGCGACACAAGCTTGATGACAAAACAGCGAAAGAAATCTTCCTTAGCTA